GGTTGGCCCAGCCGACGGCTACGCATCCAGCGCGGTGCTGCGCCCGTATATATGCTCGCCCCTTTGCGTGGGGCTGGCGGGGGGCCAAGGGGCGAGCTGTCTGGTGATTCGCCGCCGAACGAGGCGGCACCGGCCGCATTTTGGGGAGGGCCCCTCTCCCGATCCATGGGTTTCGCGACCGCGCGCCGAATCCATGTATCGGTAATCCATGTCTGCACGCCCCCGAAAAATCACCAGACAGCTCGCCCCTTGGCCCCCCGCCAGCCCCACGCAAAGGGGCGAGCATATATACGGGCGCAGCACCGCGCTGGATGCGTAGCCGTCGGATGGGCCAACCAAGCGAATGACGCATCGCGTGGCTGCTGGATGCCCGCGCCGAGCACAGATATTCTCGGTTCCTCCCTCCTCCTTCTCCTCCTCCTCCGCGGGCTTAAAACTGCCATCGAAATATCCTCACCCGCTGGCTTAAAACTACCACCGAAATATCCTCACCCGCGGGCTTAAAACTGCCACCGAAGTATCCTCACCCGCTGGATCAAAGCAGCCACAGGAATATCCTCACCCGCTTGCAGAAAACTGTCACCGAAATATCCTCACCCCCGGAAGTGAAACTGCCACCGAAGTATCCTCAACCGCTGGCTTAAAACTGCCACCGAAATATCCTCAACCGCCGGCTTAAGACTGCCACCGAAATATCCTCACCCACCAGCTCAAAACTGAGACTGAAATTTCCTCACCTGCTGGCTTAACACTGCCACCGAAATATCCTCACCCGCGGAACTAAAACTGCCACCGAAATATTGTCACCCGCTTTCTTAAAGCCGCCACCGAAATATCCTCACCCGCTGGGTTAAACTGCCAGCGAAATGTCCTGACCCGCTGGCTTGAAACTGCCACCGAAATATCCTCACCCGCTGAAATGAAACTGCCACCGAAATATCCTCACCTGCTGGCTTAAAACTGCCACCGCTCGATAATATTCGATAACACATCGATAACACCTCATGCTATCGAGGTGTCATCGAGTGTCATCGAGGTGCTCTCGAGCGCTATCGAGCTCGATCACACTCGATAGCACCTCGATAACATCTCGAACACATCTCGAAAACATGTTATCGACGAGTTATCGGGTGTTATCGAGGTGTTATCGAGCGGGTGATGGTCACCCGCTGGCTTAAAACTGCCACCGCAATATCCTCACCTGCTGGCTTAAAACTGTCACCGAAATATCTGCATCCACTGGCTTAGAACTGCCACCGAAATGTCCTCACCCGCTGGCAGAAAACTGCCACCGAAATTTCCTCACCCGCTGGCTTAAAACTGCTACCGAAATATCCTCACCCGCTGGCTTAAAACTGCCTCCGGATTATCCTCACCCGCTGGCTTAAAACTGCCACCGAATTATCCTCACCCGCGGAAATAAAACTGCCACCGAAATATCGTCACCCGCTGGCTTGAGACTGCCACCGAAATATATCCTCACCCGCTGGCTTAAAACTGCCACCGAAATATCCTCACCCGGTGGCTTAGAACTGCCACCGAAATATCCTCACCCGCGGGAATAAACCTGCGACCGAAATATGCTCATCTGCCGGCTTAAAACTGCCGCCAAAATACCCTCACCCGCGGAAATAAATCTGCCACCGAAATTTCCTCACCCGCTGGCTTAAAATTGCCACCGAAATATCCTCACCGGCTGGCTTAAACTGCTACCGGAATATCCTCACCCGCGGAAACAAATTGCCACCGAAATATCCTCACCCGCTGAAACACCGAAATGTCCTCAACTGCTGGCTCAAAACTGCCACCGAAATATCCTCACCCGCTGGCTTGAAACTGCCACCGAAATATCCTCAACCGCCGGCTTAAAACTGCCACCGAAATATCCTCACCAACCGGCTCAAAACTGAGACCGAAATTTCCTCACCCGCTGGCTCAAAACTGCCACCGAAATATCCTCACCCGCGGAAGTAAAACTGCCGTCTAACGGCCTGGTGGTTCAGTTCAGTCTGTCTGCCTCGCGAGAATGAAATTACGGGCTGCGCCCGTAAATGAGGAGATGCGGGCGCCGCCCAACAGCGCGCGCCAATGCTCCAGGAGACTGAAGCGCACGCAGAGGGGCACATATTAACATCAGGGGCAGGCTGATGCTATGGCTGAGAGACAGCAGGCGCGACGACAGCCCAACGTTTGCCCTGCTGACATATTGGGCAGGCAGCGGAGTCACAGCAGCGTCAATCGCATGTCGATTGCCTGGAGCGAAGATGGAAGCACTGCGGGGCCGCTCTTCTCGAGGCTGCCTCGAAACAGCGCCTCTCTGACAGTGGGCCATGCCTCCCATGGTGAACGTTTTTTTATCCGTAAGGGCTTCGCCCCATGCCGCCGGCCCCCTGTCTCGGACAATGGGAGATGCAAAAGCTAAATCTTGAGGTCTGGGCGCCGCCGTGAAGCAGTGTCGGGACCTGTTTGTTTTTCGACCCTGACCCTACGGATCTGCGTGAGGGGTGTTACTGAATTTCCGAAACGTGGCAAATTCTGTATGTTTTTGGACCCTGACTCTACGGATCTGCGTGAGGGGTGCCACTGAATGTCAGAAATGTGGCACATCCCTTGTGTGTTTTGGACCCTGACCCTGTCGATCCGCGTGAGGGGTGCCACCGAGTCTCAGAAATGTTGAGAATCCCCTGGGTTTTCGGACCCTGACCCCGCCGATCTGGGTGAGGTGTGTTATCGAATTTCAGACATGTCGCATCCCCTGTGTTTTTGGACCCTGACCCTACGGATCTGCGTGATGGCTGCCACCGAAAGCTAGAAATGTGCCAAATCCCGTGTGCTTTTGGACCCTGACTCTACGGATCTGCATGAGGGGTGCCACCGAATTTCAGAAATGTGGCAAATCCCATGTGTTTTTGGACCCTGACCCTGTCGATCCGCGTGAGGGGTGCCACCGAATTTCAGAAATGTTGAGACTCCCCTGTGTTTTTGGACGCTGACCCCGCCGATCTGCGTGAGGGGTGCCAGCAAAGGTAGAAATGTGGCATATTCCTTGTGTTTTTGGACCCTGACCCCGCCGATCTGCGTGAGGGGTACCACCGAATGTCAGAAATGTGGCACATCCCCTGTGTTTTTGGACCCTGACCCCGCCGATATGCGTGAGGGGTGTCAATTTTTACCCACCCCAGCAATTCAGACAACACGCTCAGGGCGTGCTGAACCTGCCCGTTTGGGCCTCCCCCCCCTCGCGCGGTCATTCAACAAGGAACAGCAAGCAGCAAGAAGCAGAATTGTAACAGCGGAAACTGGAAGCTGCAACTGGTACAGGAAACTGCGAACCTTCGGCATACAGCCTGGTGGCCCCACAAGGGGGCCAGCGGATTCATTATTTTGCCGATCGGCGTGGTCCCTCGCACCCTATCCCCCGCCCCCCCATGAACTAGATCTTGGCTGTTTTCGGGCGCCTGTTTCGAGCAGGTGGAGTCTCCCCCATAGGACGCACGGGCCGGCCCAAACAGTCGGACTGAGAAGAGGTCCGGAGCCAGACGCTCCCCCTCCCCCCCCCCTTCCGCCCAATGTCGAAACGCCGACTAAAAACACGCTCACCATGCACGAGCGAGAGCAGCAGCGGCAGCAGCAGCGGCAGCAGCAGCAGCGGCAGCGGCAGCGGGATCAGCAGCAGCCCGACCCCTCCCTCTCTCCGGGCACCACCGTCGCGCCGGCCATGTGGATGTGCGGCCGGCTGGCCAGCGCATGGCACGGCCTCCTGGATGGGTCATGCAGTGGCGCATCGTCCTTGCGTGCCTATAGGCCTACCAAGTCATGTTCTAGAAACCGACGGTGGCTTCCACGAAATGTTACACATTTCTGGCTGGGACTGTCTTGTCTTCTCACATCGGGTTCATGGTCTAAGAACATGGTGTTTGTTCTTAGAACGTTCTTGGGCTCTAAGAGCGTTTCGTGGCAGGCCTATAGGCATGCCAGGACGGTCGGTTCTTGCTCAGATGGGGTCGGAGTAGACGGGGTCGGAGGACTGCTCCTTATCGCCGATGCATCGGCGATGCGGCTCGGTGTGGAGTCCGACTTTCTCCAAGCCGATAGCGCCGATGCATCGTCGACATCGCCGATGTGGTGCGATCTTCTGTCCCAATCTATTCGGCCTCCATCTAGGAGGCCTCTAGCATGGTAATTGATCGTGTGACTTCCCGGGCGGGCGGTAGCGATGGGACAATAGCCGTCCGGGAGGTTGAGGCTTGCAGGGAAGTAGTCCGAATGAAAAAGGCCTAAACGATGCCGGCCTGCCACTACGGGCCCAAACGGTGCATGTCGGGGGCGGAAATGAGGGGGGTGATGACTAGGGGAGGGGGTGGATATCATGGCGTGGGCCATGATATTTCCCCAGATTTCATGGCGCCCCATCTTATTTCATTACGTCCCTGGCCCCCCCGCTGGGCCGCGCACATGCCGACGGTCATGATTTGCACCCCCCCCTCTTGGACACCCCCCTCTTGGCCGCTCCCGAGCATGAGAGGCGCACGTTCTTCACCCCACGTTTCCACCCGAGCTTCCCAGCCTCCCGGCGCCCCTCCGTTGTCATCTTCCGACGTCTGTCGTTCGGCCGCCGCCGAAGCCGCGTCTCTCTTGCCTCTGCCACGGGGCCGCCCTTTGGCTGGTAGCGGGGTGCATCTCGTGTAGGCCTCGTGGCGGCAGCAGGAGCAGCAAGGAGGATGCCGTCCCCATGATGATGATGATGATGATGAGGATGATGATGATGGTGATGATGATGATGATGATGATGATGATGATGATGATGATGAGGATGAGGATGAGGATGAGGATGAGGATGAGGATGAGGATGATGAGGATGAGCATGAGGATAATGATGATGATGATGATGATGATGATGATGATGAGGAGGAGGAGGAGGAGGAGGAGGAGGAGGATGAGGATGAGGATGAGGATGAGGATGAGGATGATGACGATGTCCCCACTGCCCCTCGGCCCAGATGCTGCCGCGCCGCCGCGCGGGGAGCTGAAAGCGCCGGCCACGGCTTGCATCTGGGCGCTGGGCATCCCGGGTGGCTCCGCCGATGGCCGCAGAAGACCCCTGCCGAGGATCTCAGAGCCAGGAGTGCCCGCGTCGAGGAACGGGCGGTTGTTGGAGGCCATTTCTTTATTGCTTGGGGCATGACGGGCGTCATGGCCCCCGCTCCCCCCCTCCCCCCCCCGTATGACGTAACGCTCCTCCCCCCCAGTGCGCTCCGGGCACTGCCGCCGTGCGCGTTGGGATCCGCGTAGGCGTCCGCGTAGGAATCCGCATAGGTGTCTGGTCTGCAGGTGTCGTCGTCGTCGTCGCCGTCGTCGTCGTTCGTCGTCGTCGCTCGTGGTTCGTCGCTCGTCGCTCATCGTCGTCGTGCGCGCGGACGCGGCTGGAGCCTGTTTTTAAGTCCGGGCCGATGACGTCACGTTTCGCGCCGGCGGCGTTTGGGAATGGTTAGGAATGACGGATGACGGGCAGCACGAACACGTAGGTGGCGATATGCACCACAACGCCCGTGTACATCACAGTGCCCGCGTGCACCACAGCGCCTGTGTACACCACACCGACAATGTACACCACACCAGCCGCGTGCAACACAACGTCAGTTTGTGCCACCGCGCCTGCGGGCACAGCAGGTCCTGTGTACACCACAGCGCCTCCGTACACCACATCAGCCGTGCGCGACACAGCACCACTGTACATCACAATGCTTGCGTGCATTGCAGTGCCTTTGTACGCCACGGCGCCTGTGTGCACCACATCAGCCGTGTGCAACACAGCACCGTTGTTGTGTATAGAGTTTCAGAAGGAATCCTTGTGACAAAATGGAGCGCGTGTGGATTTCAGAGAAAACAATGGAAAACAAATCCTCATGGACAAAAGAGCGCCGCTGGAATCTACGAGTCCCCCCGAGTCCGCCCGCATCACCCTAACTCTCATATGCGTCCAAGAGGCTCCAGCTAAACTGGCCGTCCGAGAAGCAAGTGGCCCGATTCAATCGACCATTCTGCGGCGCACGCTGAGATGCGCACGTGCGTTGTACCGCCAAACCGCACGACAAGGGGTAAGAAGGAGGAAAAGGAGGACGAGGAGGAGGAGGAGTAGGTTGAGGAGGAGGGAGGAGGAACAAACATCGCATTCGATTATCAGAACTTTCCTGGCGTGGCGTTTAGTTGTCCGCATCAGATCCTGACGTACATGCTCCTTCTACCTGCCCTATGCACGCAGGCGCTGTGGTGTACACCAGCGTTGCGTTGCACGCGGATGCTGTGGTGTAGACAGGCGCTGTGGCGTGCACAGGCGCTGCGGTGCACGCGAGCACTGGTGTACACGGGCGTTGTGTTGCACATGGCTGCTGCGGTGTATGTACACTAGCGCTGTAGTGTTCCCAAGTATTGTGGTATACGCGGGCGGTGCTTTGCACACGGCTGTTGCGATGTACGAAGGCGCTGTGGTGCACGCGCGCGGTGTGGTCCACGCGAGCGTTGTGGTGTACACAGGCGCAGTGGGCACATCGCCACTTACATGCTGCTCGCGTCGTCGTCGCTCGTCGCTCGTCGCTCGTCGCGTCGTGCGCGCGGGCGCGGCTGTGGTGCCGGAGCCACACGGCGGGGGGGGGCCGTCACGTCATACCCCCCTCCGCTCTCCCCCCCCCCCCCATGACGCCCGTCGTCGCCGAACATAAATAAACGCCTTCTCGGGCAGCCTTCGGCCTCCTCAGGCCCTCGCTGGGCCTTGGAATAGTCAAAAACCGACTCGGGATAGAAAGCAGGCCTCGAGGAAAGGGTCGGGCCTTCCGGGTGCCCCGCTCTGGGCATATGGAGCCCCGACACGTTTACTGAGCGGGGGAGACGCATGCGAACACCGCCACTTGGGCCTTCGGTGGAGCTCCCTATGGGGCCACGAAGCGCTGTATTGGGTAGGGTAGACGCATGCGGATACCACCACTGAAGCCTTCGGTGGAGCTCTCATGGGACCACCGAGCGTTGTACTGGATGGGGGAGAAGCAAACGAACACCGCCACTGGGGCCTTCGGTGGAGCTCCCTATGGCGCCACGAAGCGTTGCACAGGGTGTGGGAGACACATGCGAACACCGCCACTGAAGCCTTCAACAGCTCCCTGTGGGGCCACGAAGCGTTGCACAGGGTAGGGGCAACGCATGCGAACACCGTCATTTGGGCCTTAGGGGGAGCTCCCTCTGGGGCCACGAGTCGCATGCGGACACCGCCACTGGGGGCTTCGGTGGAGCTCCTTATGGGGCCACGAAGCGTTGCACAGGGTGGGGGCAGCGCATGCGAACCATGTCACGGAGCCTTGGGCGGAGCTTCTCGTGTGACCACGAAATGATGTACTGGGTGAGGGGAACGCATGCGAACACCGCCGCTGGGGCCTTCGATAGAGCTCCCTACAGGGCCACGAACGGTGTGAGGGGTGTGCCAAAGTGGGTGCGGTGACCGCATGCGAGCGCTGGCATGTGGGCCTTCGGTGGAGCTCCCTATGGGGCCATGAAACGTGTGAGGATGGGTGCGGTGGCCGCATGCGAGTGCTGGCATCTGGGCCTTCGGTGGAGCCTTCCATGGGGGCACGAAAGTGTGAGGGGTGTGCGAAAATGATTCCGGTGGCCGCGTGCGAGCGCTGGTATTTCGGCCTTCGGTGGAGTCCCCCATGGGGACACGAAACGTGTGAGGGGTGTGCCAAGATGAGTGCGCGAGCGCTGGCATCTGGGCCTTCGGTGGAGCTCCCTCTGGGGCCGCGAAACGTGTGAGGGGTGTGCCAAAAGAGAGAGGGGGTCATGGGAGGAGGGAGGAGCGGGAGGAGGAGGAGGAGGAAGAGTGGTAGGAGGAGGAGTAGAAGGAGGAGGAGGCTTTCTTCAGAACGAGGACCCAACACCACAGGATGGTTGGGAAAAATCGGATCTCGGGGGAATTCCGGTGGAGGTTTTGGGGAGCCTTTTGCTCGGCTCTTGGCGGGCTCGTGGGGCTGGCTAGGAGTCTTGTGGAAGAGCCTCTAGGATACTTGGGGCTTGAGGGTGCCTCTTGGAATGACCCTCTGGGGCTCTGGTTGGCATCTGGTTGGCTTTTTGAGTCCTCTTTGGGAGCCTCTTGGGCTGGGCTCGCCGCCTGTGTCTCGCCGCCCGCGCCGCTGCCGGCGTCGCGCCACGGTGAGCGCTGCCGCCGCCGCCGCCGCCAGCGCCCGGCCCCCCCCCCCCACCTCCCGCTGGCTGTGCGTGCCGCCAGGGGGGCTGGCCATACACCGGGGGGGCATGTGCAGCATGGCGCCTGACAAGGTCAGGCGATCGCAAACATGGACCAAGGGGGCGTGGATTGGCGACGGGTCCCGTTTCCGTGGGAAATCGCGGATTTCCGCCGCCGAACGGAGCGGCGCTGGCCGTTCTTTGGGGAGGGCACCTCCCCCGATCCATGGATTCGGCGACCGCGCGCCAAATCCAGGGTGGCATGTGCATCATGGCGCCTAACAAGAGTCGAAGAGGAAAAAACACCATACACATAAGCCATAAACTGTTGGCGCTCCGCGCGGATTGCTTGGATCCGCACCTGGGCCCCCTTAGCGGCGCCGCCCCTGGCGCGCTCCGCGCGCCAGGGAGGGGGGCCCAGGCGCGAATCCAAGGAACCCGCGCGGAGGGCCAAAAGTGTGTGTTTGTGTAGTTTTTCTTCTTCCGAGCATTTTCTTTGGGTGGAGGGCAAAGGGTGAAATCTGAAATGCCGTTCCGATGGATCTTCGAAGCCTGAATCTGCAAGAGGTGAGCCAAAAGACGGATTGATTTTCGAGGTGGATCTCACCCTGAGCCCTCCACCCTAAGAAAATGCGCAGTTCTTCTATGATCCCCCAGGACCTGCTAGGCAAAAACTCCTGGCGGCAGTGTTGTGCCGCTCTCGGCCTCTGAGGGCCCCCCGTCCGAAGACGACTCGGGCGGAAACGCCGCCCATGGGAACACCAGGGGACCCCCCCCCCCCCCCCCCCCCACACACACACACACACACACACACACACACACACACACACACACACACACACACACACATTCCCACACATTCCCACACATTCCCACACATTCCCACACATTCCCACACACCCACACACCCACACACCCACACACCCACACACCCACACACACACACACACACACACCCACACCCACACACACCTACACACCTACACACCTACACACCTACACACCTACACACCTACACACCTACACACCTACACACCTACACACACAAAAAACACCTGGATCTCCGAGAGGAGAGGAAGAGCAGGGTGGTGCAGAGGAAGAGCAGGAGGGGAAGTGTTTCTTCCCCTCGTCCGCGTCCTCCCCAGCATCCGCACCGGTGTCTCCAGACTTGCCCCGGACCAGACCAGACGGGGTGCCCGCGGATTCCTGATACCGCCGTCGAGTGCATGGGCGGAGCGCTCAGCTTTGACGCCGACGTTGGACGAGGGGTATGAGGACGTGGAGCATTCGGTGAGGAGGAGGAGGAGTCAGCGGCAAGGTTCGGGGGGGATAGGCTCAGGGGGTGACGCACTGAACCCAAATCGCCCATGGATCGCCGATGGGGGCCCCTCTCGCTCAGGAACGTGTGGATCTGCTATCGGCGGCCCATCGCTGATCTATCGGCGATGTATCGCCGAATCCAGGTCGACGTTTCCCGCCCTGAGCTGCCCCCCCCCCCGGAAAGTTCTGCCCCACAAGCGTGACGAGGGGCACGCGGTGAGAAGGATGGGGAGGAAGAGGAGGAGGAGGAGGAGGAGGACCAGCGTAAACCAAAGAGTCCTTAGCGATGTTGGAATGAACCCTCCCTTCAAGCTCCCTCTTCAGAAGCCCCTACAACGGGTCATTTCATTTCCTTTACATTTCCATTGAAGACGCCCTTGAAGACCCTGAAGCTTGCCAAAACATTGTTCCAGGATTTCAACGCCACGGATCCACCCGATTGCCGCTTCTCGACGATCGTGAATCGTGTCAGAACGCCATTTTTAGAACTTCAACACCGCGAATCAGCAGAACTGTTGCACCCGCATAATCCGCAACCTTCCAAACACCATATCTTGCACGGTGACAATGGGAATCCGTGAAACTCTTACAAATTATATGAACGAATGTGCGCGGCGCTAATGCGAGATCCACATGTTGAAAAGGAACCGCCCTGTATCCGTGAAACTCTTGCTAATGTTTAAAACGAATGCGCGCGGCGCTAAGGCTAGAGCCACGTTCTGAAAACGACCCGCCCTCAATCCGTGAAACTTTTGCAACTGGTTAGAACGAATGTGCGCGGCGCTAAGGCGAGAGCCACATTTTGACACCACCTGCCCTCAATCCTTGAAGCTCTTGCACAGTGTCCGCCGCGCTCAGGCGAGCGACACATTCTTAAAACCACCCGCCCTCCTTATGTGAAACTGTTGCCACTTCTTCAGTTTCAGGAAGTCTCAGGCTAAACGCCTGGCCCGCCCTAAAAACAGGCCTCGGGGTGCGACAGGGAGAAGTTATTTTGAAGGAAAAGGACTAGAGGAGGCGGAGGAGGAGGCGGAGGAGGAGGAGGAGGAGGAGAGGAGGCGATAGGAAGGGGGGACAGGAGGAGAAGCGTGAGGATGAGGACGTGCAAAAGGGCAGGAGGGCGAGCATTGGAGTGCGATGAGTGTCCAAAGTGCTCCCAGTCGTCGAAGTTGCCCACCACGCCTGCAATGATGGTCATTCCTGCGCACGCCGGTCCAGCTTTTCTCACACACTGGCAATGATTGGGGAACGCCCTCCTCCTCCTCGAGGTTGAGGACATCAGTGGGGTGGGCGTCGTGATCGGGTGCGGCGCCCAGAACTGCCCATCCATCGATGCCATACGTCCTTCGTGCTCACCCCCTCTTCCCAGAAGCGGACAAGTATTCCCCTTCACATTGAGGGCAGGAGCCCCCAACTAAACATGAGATGAGAGGGGTTGCCCAGGTTGTGGTCAGGAACCTAGCCCTCGAGCACATTCACCAACTGTATCTCGCATCGTTCCATTCGTTGCCAGAGGTGGCCAGGGCTCATCCCAGGCTTCGTCCTCGTGTGGGCACAGCCCTGGCATGTCGGTGGTGTCCATACGCTGTTTTTAACCAAGCCAGAGGATCCCAGCGGTAGAATGCGGAAACGGCACGACCGACGGCCGACCGACGGACGACGAACGGGGACGACGGAGGCGCGGGAAGGGCGGGGTGGCGGGGGAGGGGAGAGATGGAAAGCGCCCTGCGATGGGAGGGCGCGGGGGTGGGGGAGCGGCGGCAGTGTGCATACGCACACCTTTCAGCAACCTGCGATGGACCTGGCCAGGTTTGGTGGTGGTGCATGGTTACGGGCCTCCACTCTCCGGGGGGGGGGGGGGCAGCACGGGGCAGGGAGGGAGCTGGTGCAGGGGGAGCGGAGTCGAGTCGCGCTGGAAATCGAGAAGATCAGGGCGACGGTTCGGGGGTACTCGCTCCTCCCTTCTGCATCCCCCTCCTCCCTTACACTCCCCCTCTCCCCTCTCCCATCTTTCTCTCCCCTCGAGGACGTGGGCGACTCGAGGAGGGTGGCGGTGACAAGCGCAGGAGCCTCAGGCATTCCATGTTTCGGGGGGTCGGTTTGGAGCGTGGTCGCTTCAAAAGCACAGCGCTGCAGCGTTCGGTGCTCGGCGTCCAGTGGCCGTCCCCGAGCCCTGGGGACCGTCAACCAACGACTCTGCATGGAGTCGCTCCAGGGGCGGTGGTCGAGACCTCGAAAGGCCGCCGGAGGTCCTGAGGACAGTGCTGGAAGCGGGACAGTTCTGGCCCTGGGGCCCAGGCATCCGTCGTCCTTATATGTCAATGCTCGCCAGTCCCAGGTACTTCAGGCGCATTCCAGTTCAAAGTGTATATACCGACTTACATAATATGTATTTCTTTAAAGATGCACAAGTATGTATTATGGGAAGTTATCGTTTGCTGCCGTCATAAAGGATTTGTTGTGGAATGTTCCCGGGTTGCCTGGCCGGTGCCCAGGGGCATGGTTGAGGTAAGATTTCGTGCCTCCCGACGGTCCCGCGAGTGGAGACCTTCTGGAACCCGTAAAATTGAACCGGCTCGTTTCGCTTGAGTAATCCGTCCAAGTCCGTTTTCCGAAATCGCCAGATTAGTGCTGATTTGTCCCGTCTCGCTTGAGACATCCCCGCAACTTTGGGCGCGAGAGGTGGTCTGGCCCGTTCGCCTGAGACATCCTCAACATTTTGGGTTCGGAGATGCCGTGACCTGAGGTGGCCTCGCCCATTTCGCTTGAGACATCCTTGTTATTCTGGGCTTGGAGGTGCCGCCCGCGAGGTGATCCCGCCAGATTCGCCTGGAACATCCTCGCAATTCCGTGTACAAAGGTGCCGCGTGCGACGTGGTCTGGCCAGCCTCGCAATTCTGAGCACCTGCTAAGGAGAAGTGCGAAGAGTAGATGAGGAGGAGGAGGAGGAGCAGGAGGAGGAGGAGGAGGATGCGGAGGGGAAATGAGGGGGAGGAGGAGGAGCGTAGGAGAATGAGGAGGAGGATGAGGATGTGGAGGAGGAAGAGGAGGAATGGTAATGTTCGCGCTGCAATCAGGCAAGGACTTGTGTTGTCGATGCTTTCGGGACACTCCTCGTCGACAGGGCTGGACGCGGGTCGATCGTGTCTTGTGATGCAGGCTGGTGCTCTGCCGACCAAGGGTGTTTCACGGGCCTGTTCGCGCCCAGATTGCGGCGATATCTCGAATGGCCCATTTGTTGTTTTGTGAGGTCGGCGTGTGTACTATCAGAGCTGCATGGTCCTCGCTGGCCACTATAGTCAGCTTTGGGGCTGTTCTGCACCCCATGACTGGGTCGCCCCGGGCGACCATGGCAACCCCAACGGCCCGGCGGTTTTGTTGGGAGGTGCCCGGGATGTGTTGCCTTCAGTAAAGCTCGGTGCGCCCCATGGCCCACAGGGGCTCAGGCCCGTTTCGCTTCAGACATCCTCGGAACCCTGGGCTCGGAGATGCCTTGATTTGAGATGCTCTGGCCTGGTTCGCCTGAGACATCATCACAATGCTGGTTTCCAAGCTGTGATAGTTGAGGTGCTTAGGCCCGAGTCGCCTGAGATATCGTCGGACCCCCTGGCTCCGAGATGCCCCGACTTGAGGTGCTCTTGCCCATTTATCCTGAGACATCCTCGCATTTTGGGCTCCATGATGCGGTTCGCGAGGTGCACATGACAGTTTCGCTTGATACATCCTCGGAACCCCTGTTTCCGAGATGCCCTGATTTGAAGTATTCTGGCCCGTTTCGCTTGAGATGCCCTCACGATTTTGCGTTCCATGATGCGGTCCGCTAGGTGCTCAGGTCCCTTTCGCTGGAGGCATTCTCAGAACCCTTTCGAGATGCCCTTTCTCGAGAACCCTTTCGAGATGTCACATTCTGCCTCAGACATCCACCAGCTCTGGGGTCCAAGATGCGGTTCTCGAGGTGCTCAGGCCCGTTTCGCCTGAGACATCCTCGGAACCCCAGGCTCCGAGATGCCCTGACTTGAGGCATTCTGGACCGTTTCGCCTGAGACATTCTTGGAGCCCTCGGAACTTTGGATCCGATCGACAGAGCCGTGCGGATCGCGGGATGCCAGCCCATCTCCGGGAAGGCTCTTCCCGGGACCGCAGTCGATACAAGTAGGTTTTCTGCGGATGGACCGTGGCCTTCCTGATTAGGGATTCTCGGGCATATGTGTTGCAACCCAGATGTTACAATTGAAGGTAATATATTGAGAGAGGTCTTGCTAAGGTTGCCCCCAGTACCGGAGGAAGCCCGGGACCAAAAGGCCGGTAATAGAACAATTTGGAACCCGCCACACACATCTGTATATGTATAGATGTATATATACACGCACATAAGTAGATGTTCCTAATATTGAATAAATTGGGGTCTTGTCATTGCCCATATGCATAGGATGGAGTCCTTATTATTATTTCGGCCGCGCCAACTTTCTTACCCACCCCTCCATTCTCCTCCCCCGTCAAGTTATATGTTGGTGTTTATGCTATGGTAATATACGTAATGGTATGACGTGTCGTGATACGGTAGTTATTGTTATGGTATATCATGTTATATTACACCTTGAGGTGCAGTGCTATATTATGGCAAGTAATGCTATGGTACGTTATGTTATATCATGTTATGATATGATGAGGTTGGTGATGACGATGATGTTGATGATGATGGTGGAACTCTCCGAGCCACAGCCAACTGTTACATGATGATACGTTATGAGATGTTATAGTATGGTATGTTAGGTGATGGTATGGTGTGGTGTGGTTTGATGAGGATGCTGCTGATGATGATGATGGATCATCCCGAGTCACACTCAACACTTACATTATGATATGGTATGCGATTGAAGTAAGGTATGACATCTGAGGCTATGTAATAGTAAGGTAAGCTATTTTACTCCACCTATCCAAAGGCTGGGATTACTGTTATTACTCTGACGTTGCAACTCCTCACTCACCTCCCTCAGTCCTCAGTTTCCCCATCGTGTTATGGTATGTGATGGTATGCTATGTTATGGTATGGTTTGCAGTGGTTTGGTAGATATGGTATGTTATGACATTGTGTGGCATGACCTGTAATGGCATGTTATGTAATGGTATGGTTTGCTATGCGATGCTGTACCACGTTATACGATGCGAATGTTTCGACGATGATGCTGATGATGATGCTGATGATGATGCTGATGATGATGATGATGATGATGATGCTGATGCTGATGCTGATGATGATGATGATGATGATGATGATGATGATGATGATGATGATGATGATGATGATGATGATGATGATGATGGTAGCACTGATGCCGATGGTAATGATGTCGGTGATGATGATGCTGCTGTTGCTGCTACTGCTGCTGCTGCTGCTGATGACGATGATGATGATGACGACAGGGTAGATTGTGAGGATGTCTCGAACGAGGCGCGGGTTTCAGCACCCCCAAGGGGGAGCCGCCAGGGGGTATCTCACTTTTCCGTTCGCGTCATAATGGTGGGGATGTCTCGAGCGGGGTGCTTGTTTCGGTGCCCAACGTCCCCCACTTGTCGGACCAGATTTGGATGTCTCGAGCGAGGCGCTGGTTTTCGCACCCAAGGGGAGCCGCCTGGGGGTGTTGCACTCCTCCGTTCGCGCCAAGTTTGGGAGGATCTCTCGAGTGGTTGACCTATTCTGACGGCCAGACTCGTGGGAACGGATCCTCCTCAGGATAAGCTCAGGATGCCACAGGAGGCTCCAGCAGACTCCAGAAGGCCCCAGGAGGCCTTAGGAGGTACCAGGAGGCATCAGGAGCCCACAGGAGGCCACAGGAGGCCTCAGGAGGCCAAAGGGGCCCCACGAGGCTCCAGGGGGCCCCAGGAAGCACCAATAGGCTCCAGGAAGCTACATGAGGCCACAGGGGGCCACAGGAAGCGCCAGGAGGCTCCAGGAGGCCGCAAGAGGCTCCAGGAGGCTCCAGGAGGAGGCCCCAGGAGGTCACAGGAGTGGCTCAAATCCTCTGTATTTTATACAAGTGGCACGTGTGTGCCCAGGCTCATACAAAAAACTGAAGGGGCGTTTGAAGCAGGAGTGAAATGCAACATCGAAGTCGCACTCGAGCGCAAGTGGGGTTGCCACACCTTGCGATGTGTGTACCAGGACCCCCCAGGAAGCCTCAGGAGGCCCGACTTGGATACCAGAAGAGGCTCCAGGAGGCCCCAGGATTGTGAGTGTTGTGCGTGTGTGTGTGTGTGTGTGTGTGTGTGTGATGTATGCTTTGTGTGGTGCGTGCTTTTTGTGTGTTGTAGGTGTTGTGTGTGTAGTTTGGGCGTGATTTGTCTAGCGTGTGATGTGTTGGGCGTGATTTGTGTTTCTGTGTGCATGTAGTTCTGAAGCCCCAGGAGGCCCCAGGAAGCCCCAGGCGGCCTCAGGAGGCCCCAGGAGACCCCAGGAGGCTTCAGGAGGCCCCAAGAGGCTCCAGGAGGCCGCAGGAGGCCCCAGGAGGCCCCAGGAGGTTTCAGGAGACCCCCAGGAGGCTCCGAGGCGGGGTCTGGGGTGCCAGAAGGTTCAGAAAGCCCCAGGAGGCCCCAGGAGGTTCCAGGAGGCCCCCAGGAGGCTCCGAGGCGGGGTCTGGGGCTCGATTTTGGAAGGATTTTTGAAGCGAAACCGCCATTCCCTGAGAATCGGGGTCACAATTATTGAAATTACCATGTGTTTTTGAAGGTTTTATGTTAAACTGTTGAAATTCCCATGTGTTTTTGGACCCTGACGTCACGATCTGCGTGAGGGGTGCCACCGATTTTCAGAATTTCGAGGATGTCCCGAGAGAAACGCCCAGACAAATCGCGGACGCGTGCGCATTAATCGCCTCTGAGCTCTACTCCCTCGGAGTGGTGCGTATGAGAATATGGTCCTATAGATTGCCCCCCCCCCTGGAGTTCGAATCCTTGGTGTTTGTTTAATGTTTATATATCTATAAATAGATTGTCGTTGGGCCTCCCCTAGGGCACGAGTCCTCTGTATTTTACGCGCGTTCCTATAT